TGACGGTTGTTAGTATTGTGAGTATGATTCACTAGCTATGCTCTCGTGTGTTTTCACTTTTGTGGGTGGATCCCTAGTGGTGGATCTGGGGTCCTAAATCCTATGATGTTCTTTTGGTTGAGTGGGAAGATTGGGAAGATTTGGTTATTTCGAGTGACATAATTAGTGTTGTCTTGGAGTTACTAAAGTATTTTAGCGGTTCGACATGTACCACTGGCTTATGAGAGTTCATAAAAGAGCTACCATGTGTAATTATGGTTGTCCGACAATCTTAACATTCATCTAGTCGTCGAGGTCATGTATTGATTGTGTGTGGTTGAATGTAGGGATCATTGAATCCAATTCTACTATTCTTAAGAGGTAATCTATAATTACTAAATCTAGCATTTCGATAGTGTTGCTAGAGGGTTTGTATGCTTGGACATATCCCTCAAGGAGTATCTAATGTCTAAAGATTGCAATTTTTGTAACTTAAGCTCATGAGAATTTATGTTGTGGGATGATGATTTTGTTAAGAACTATGATTATTTGAGTATCATGAGCGTGTGTTGGTTGGTTTAAGTTCACCTCTAATTGTGGCAAGTTTTAATCTTGGAATTTTATCATGCCTAAGTGCTAAAGGATTCATCCGAATGATTGTGTCAAGGTCCTTGATAACATATTGTAGACGTGTGTATGATCAACCTTGGTGGTTGTGGGGAATCATTTTTGTTGTTAGTTAAGGTTACATACAACGATATTTATCACTCGAGTATTAATATGACTTCATTGAGGCATTATAAAGAAGGATGTGTATGTATTCAATTGGTTGGTTTGGGGTAATGAGATTCGGTAAGATGGGCATGCGAGACAAATATCCCCAGTAATTCGACGATTCAGATACTACTCTACCTTTACTTTAGCCAGTCTTTCGTAGTTGATCACTCGGGGACGAGTGATGGGTAAATTGGTATCTATTGTAACAACCTGATTTCCGTCGTTAGGGAAAAGTGAATGGAGAAAGAATTGGGGCTAGAAAACTTTTTCGTAGTAACTTGAAATTTCCCAACCTAGTCCAGATTTGGACGAAATCAGAGTCATTAAGGTGTAGGGAAATCTGGTAACAATCGGGTGATCTAATTAGAAGTTTGATTACATAAGTAGTTATATAAGTCGTTAATGAACTCGTACGACTTTAAGGAATTGAATTCGGGCAAGTAGAACTCCCGAAATTGAACTTAGCGTGAAAGGTATTTTCTGAGTGTCGTTTGTTAGAGGTATGTTGTGAAATGGGGATTTTGGAATTCTTTAAAGAGCTCTCTATTTCGTTTCAGCCGCTTTGGCGTTGGGTTTTGCCGCTGTGGCGGGGCGGTGGCCGTCGTGGCGGGTTAGACGCGACTTAAAGTCGTTAATAAACCCCTAAACGACCTTATTTTGCACTTTTTGATTTTTAGAGCTAAAGAACGAACCCTAGGCAACTCCTACTCGTTTTTCACCATTTTCTTGAGGCTAAAGGTAAGCTTTTCACTCCCCGAATTCGTTTTTCTATCCGTAGAACGTAATAGAATAGGTAATTATCGATGGGGGAG